AAGCATGAGCAACCCAAAGGGTCCTCCTACATTCACTCACTACATACCTTCTTGAATGTGACCATGGACGCTGCCGATGCTACGAAAAGTCAACATCTTCCCAGGTACTCACTCATACGCAGTGTACCAAGGTCATAGCAGATGCCTCCCGACACGGGACATTCCTCTTCATTCTCCATGCCATCCCATGCCATCCCATCCCATGCTCTGGTCCATGGATCCCAGCCCAACCCCCAGTGGGGTGTAAGTGGGCAGAGTGGCCACACCCCACCACAGTCCCAAGCCCGTCTTCCTCTTCCGCCTCTCGATTCTCAAGTCTCTCGAGTCTGCAGTGCTGCACATCGTACCCCTGGCCCGCTGGGGTTTATTCGGTCTGTCCATCCAAATCACCCGGTTGGACGCGCTTACAGCAAGTTTGGCAATTGGCTTTTTCATTACTGTTATCGCTTTGTATCTTGTTCCATCAGGAAGCCCAGTCCCGCAGTAAGAGGCCAGAAGCCGCAGCAGCAGCAAAGCACCCCATCTTTCAATCTCTGACCCTTAGCTCCTCTTTGCCCGTCCGTTACCCAACCTAGGAAAAGATTCGAGACTACCCTGGCGACGCGGTACATGTGCTTTGTACACCACCTATAGTATCCGTATACCTGATGGTCGTCGACCTACCCAACTCAAGGGGTCCTTTCGGCACATCAGAGAACCGTTGACCCGCCGGTGAAGCAGCCACGGGATCCAATTCTCGACGGAGACTGGTCCAGAGTCCAAAGACTCGAGCGGCTCCTCGGGGTTCGGCCGATTCCACATCCAGGACATCTTGTCACTGAGGCAAGACATCTGCCCCGACCAAGCCCTCCACCATCCCGGGATCAACTTTGCTTATATCTGCTCCCGTCCCTCTCGGGCCCATCATCATTGCGCTCTCTTTCTCTCTTCCCGCCGTGGCCATCATCAACCCTCCTCTCCCCCTCCATCCTTTGCCTGCTTTCCTCAAGGTGAAGCAAGGAACCTCTTGCACCAGTGAACCTTGTCCGTGGGTTACCGTCCCATCCCATCAAGGTTTTGCTTTGGTCTCCCCGCAACCCCCCTACGAGACACATCTAAATACCACAGCCACCCGCCCTCTTCACAGCGGCGCGTGAGCTAGTCTCCCTCGTCACTAAACACTTCCTTCTCGCAACCCCAGGAAGTGTCTCGGACACCTCACAGTCTTTATTCACAATGGCGACTCATCACCAACGCCATTCCGCCCCCATTGGCGTGATTCCCGTGCCTCACGGTCCCGAGACGGGCCAGGAGCATGAGGATTACCCCCGGGAACACACCACGGCGCATGAGCGCGAGATCTTCGGTCACGTCACGCGTCCCGACGATTCATACACCACCGACGGTGTCTACTGGGCCGATTTGCCCTGGTGGAAGCGCGTCAACTTCGTCAACAAGGTCGATCGCGATGAGGCCGCCAAGGAGCTCAGGGCCACCGGCGAGATGATGAAGAAGGACCCCCTCTCTCCTCTCACCTGGTACTTCCGCAACGCTGTTCTTCCCGGTGCCGGTCTCGGTCTCGAGGGTTACGTTCTGTTCTCCATTGGTAACTTGGAGCCTCTTTTCGCTGCCGTCTGGCCTGAGTGCTGGGGCAAGGGACACGCCGTTTGCACGCAGAACTGGGTCGCCTCTGTCACATATCTCGAGATTGTTGGCATCATGATTGGTCAGGCCGCTGTTGGTGTAAGTTCATGAACCTGCGCCTTTGAAAAAAGAAAAACCAATTCTAACAGAATTCCAGGTCATTGGTGATTGGATTGGCCGTCGTTGGGGTCTCATCCAGGATGCGGCCATCATGTTTGTCGGTCTGCTACTTTTGACCGGCTGCTGGGCCAGCTCTCTCCAGGGCTGGGTCATTTTCTACGCCTGGTCTCTCTTCTTCTACGGTTTCGGTGTTGGAGGTGAATACCCCATCACTGCTACGTCGTCCATGGAGAACTCCGTCACCGCCGGCCGTCTGTCTACTCGCGAAGATCGTCTTCACCGCGGCCGTAAGGTCACCATGGCTTTCCTCATGCAGGGATGGGGTCAGCTCATCAACCAGGTCGTTCTCATCGTCCTTCTCGTCATCTTCAACCGCGGATACGGCAACGGCCCGTACACCCAGTCCGCCGCTCAGTACACTTTCCGCCTCTCTTTCGCTCTCCCCGCCATCGGTACTTTGTGGCTTGTCTACTACCGTACCTGGAAGATGCCGCGCGCAAACCAACAGCTTGCGCTGGCTAAGAAGAAGCAGGGTGTCACCGGCTACGACGTGAACGCTCTGAAATACTGCTTCCAGCATTTTGGTGGTCGCCTCTTGGCTACTGCTGGTACTTGGTTCTGCAATGACGTTTTCTTCTACGGCAACAAGCTTTTCCAGGGCCAGTTCATCTCGGTCATCTCCAGCAACCCCGATTCCCTCCTGACAAAGTGGACGTGGAGTCTGATCAACGTCGTCGTCTCCCTTGCCGGTTACTATCTCGCCTCCCTGTTCATCGACAACAAGCTTTACGGCCGTAAGATGATGCAGCAGGTTGGCTTCTTCATGTGCTTCGTCATGTTCGTCATTCCGGCCTTCAACTTCGGATACTACACCAGCCCGGCTGGCGTTCACGCCTTCCAGGCCATGTACTTCCTCAGCTCTTTCTTCAACCAGTTCGGACCCAACTCGGTTACCTTCCTCGTCGCCGGTGAGGTTTTCCCTACCCCTATCCGCGCCACCGCCCATGGCTTTTCCGCCTGTATCGGCAAGGCCGGAGCTCTCCTCGCCTCCGTCTTGTACAACTACATCGACACTCAGACCAAGTTCTACGTTGTTCCTTGGTTCGGTCTCGCCGGCATGGTCCTCACCTACTTCTTCCTGCCCGACACCACCGGTCTCGATCTCAAGGAGCAGGAGCGTCGCTGGACGTACATCCGCAGCGGAAAGGAGGCCGAGTACCACGGTGTCGCCGTTCACCCCACCCATCTCAGTGTCTGGGAGCGCCTCCGCGGCGTCGGCAAATACTACGACGCCGAGAAGGACCACAAGGCTCAGATCGAGGACATGCGCAAGGAGTGGGAAGAGAGACAGGCGATGCAGGGCGAGAAGGAGCCCGAGGTCTGGGAAGACCCCGAGCTCTTCTCCGAGGCTATGCACGGCTACTTCAAGGAGCAGCACAAGGGCAAGTCTCAGGGTGGTGTGATGCACGACGCCGATGTGTCCGAGTCCTCGTCGGCACGGGAGAAGGAGGCGGGTGACGAGATCCAGCCCAGCCCAATGCTGGGAGCGAGGCAAGATCGCACTGATCTCGACGAGAAGAGAGGTTAATCGTGCATGAAGTGGTGTTTGCATTATACACATAATGAGGAGTATTAAAAATGGGCTTTGGAGTTTACAACCATGGGCGGACTACTTGCATTGGAACTGGGGCTTTGGGTAGAAGCATACTCAGCATGGCGTATAAGACGCCCGAATATATTCTTAACGTATTATGACTACCATACTTGTTGTCCTTCTTCTTGGTGACTTGTGTTTTGATACCTGCCGGACTCGATATCTGCTAAACAGCCTTGCTGGACACGTACCGGTGGTATAGGGGATATCCGGTGACCTAGGTAGATGGACATCGGCATCTCGTCCCTGGGGGGTTAAGGAAGCTTAGTATCGAGACTCGCAATCTAAGTAAATTGCGCCAGAAGCTTGATTGTCTGCTGGAGTGGGTACCTATATAACACCAAGCCAGCTACGAAGGTTGCGCGACGGCCTCGGCGATCCCGGCAGACGGCAGACGGCAGGTGGCAGGTGTGTGCCGTGCCAGCGTATGGTGCTCAAGGTATGGACCACGTGAAAGGCTGGCAGCGCTCCGAGTCGTTGTCATTATGCATGCAAGCACCTGCATGATGAGAGTGCAAGTTCTCTGCCATGGAGGTGTACTTGAGGCATACGAGCGCGTTCATCCTCGGCGGGCCTTTCTTTTGTTTTCAGAGGCCTGAAAGTTTCTTGGTAGTTTGACAACCTTGTCAGAATTCATAGAGAACCTTTTGTAACGGAACAGAACGTATGAAATGAAGGTTGAAGCCTAGTGCTTGGGATAGGTCGGAATGAATGGGGTCTTGGAATTAGCAGGACGTTGGGGATGAGTAAAGTTTGAGATAGGTAGGATGTGGGACGGATATATCTCCCTTTCGACTTCACGATCCTCTGGGAATACGTGACAGGTAGTGGTGAAGAGGTGTGAACGACGAAGTAGTTCTAAGTATCAGGCTTAATGACGTTTGTCGATGAGGGACGTTGATGAATGAAATCATGGAGCAGTCGCGCCGACATCTCATTTGAGCATTTTTGCCCAACATGTATGTCAATGTAGGCATAATGGTGCCGTTACGGACAGATCGGTATCGAGCATTGAGGATTGTTTTATGTCTGCCGTCTTTCTCATTCATGATAGATAGGGCGCGAATCGGTCCTCGATAGAAATAGCACAATTGGAATATTGAAAGAATACAAACATTCTCTGTAGTTCTTCAACTTGACTGGCCAAGACGCATTTTCCTTCGTAGCCAGATGTGCGGATTGAATAACTCCAAGACCGCAAAGGCTCGCTTACAATGGCTGAAAGCATCATGGATACCATCATCTTAGGGCAAGAGTCCAAAAACCTAGGGATGTTGACCTTGGTAGCTCGGAGCTTTCTACCATTGCTGGCTCTACCTACCAAATCTCATACTTGTACCTCAGAGCTACCTCGTCTGCAACGAATTTCGTATGTGTACGGTTCTTTGGGTCTGCTGTGGCAGCTCCTGATTCAAACTTTTTCCTACTGATCTCTGGAGACGGGTCCGTTGTACCAAGATTTCATAAAAGGGACCTAAGGACGGATAGGCAAATATGTGTAGGCTTACTTCTTCGAGTTACACGCGTACAATTTGTTAGAGGTCTTGACCAGCGAGATGACCATCATGTCTAAGCATTCTCAAGCCCGATACAGATAAGTTAACTAAATTCTTAGCTGTGGCGGCCCATTTTCTCTCAACATCTTTCTGATATTCTTCGCCGTCATACCAGCCAGCGGATGAGGCTCCATATCCGGATCTTGGTCGGCCTTGACACTAAACTCAGCACCACCATCCACCGCCGCCGCCTGTGCAGGCAAAACGGGCAGATGCGTATGCGGATCATACACGGCGCCCTTGGGAACAACCTTTGTCTGCACCGTCGCGGACCCTTCTCTGAAGGTGCTCTCCGGCGGGCCCTGCGTGATCAAGTTCTTCCCAAACACCATCGGCGTCGTCCCAGACGCGATGTCCACCCCCTTGATCGTCCGCTCCTGGATCCTCAGCGCCGCCTCGGGCTGGTTAAAGGCAGAGAGGTGACCCGCGAAGAAGAGCCGCGTGAAGGAGAAGTTGTCGGCCTGCTTCACCTCCCCGGGTACCTGCCCGTCCGTGTTGGCAGACATGTTGACGAACCCGGCGCTCGCCCAGTTCGCCGTGCCCAGCTGCGCCGCGACGATCTGTGCACCAATCATGTTGCTGTCGTAGTCGGCGTCGCCGGTGAAGAGGGAGACGGTGATGCCCTGCTGGACGAGGTTCTTGAGCGACTGCGTGACCAGCGCCCCCGTACGGCTGTCGTCGCCCGTGGACCCGAAGGCGATGGCGGTCTGCACCGACGCCTGCGTGAAGTTGTTGGACGCCCCAATGGCGGCTTGCACGTCGGCCCTGTTGAGGTAGCTCACGAACGTGGCCGAGGGGTAGGGTTCCGGAAGGAGGAGGCGGATGTCGTTCTCGGCGCGGCCGGCGTTGACGTCCCAAAAGTCTTCCACGTTCTTGACGCAGAAGGCGTCGGCCTCGGCGCAGAGCTTGTCGGTCGGCTGGGCGTTGCAGGCGTTTTGACGGTCCTGGCAGCCGCCCTGGCCAAACATGTTGGTGAAGAGCTGCTTCTGCTGGGTGTCGTTGAAGGGTTTCACGTCGTAGGGGTTACCCGGGGAGACGGAGTAGTTGAAATAGGCGCCGAACTGCACGCGGGTGTCCATGAAGCCGTCCTCGATGGAGATGGACTTGAGGGGCACCTGGACGGTGCCGGGGGCTTTCGCCTTGTTCTGCTGGGTGATGAAGTCGGCGAAGACCGGCACGTAATGGCCGCCGTACGACTGACCGTTGATGTGTACGCCGTTGGCCGCGTACTGCGGGAAGGCGCCCATGATCCCCTGCATCACCTGGTAAAAGACTTTCGCAGCGTCGGCCGTCGAGTTGGGCGTCAGGGAGACGTCCATGGAGGAGTAGGTCCCGCACATGGGGTCCGCGGATGTGCACTGCTGGGGCACGATCTCGGCCGTCTTTGGGTTGACGGTGCCGTTGACCAGGTTGGTGAAGGAGAAGCCGACGGTCGCGGGCTGGTCGACGAAGAGCAGGTTGCTCACCGTCGACCACGAGTTCGGGTTGTCCACCACTTTGCCCTTGGCGTCGATGGAACAAGGGCCGATCTCGGTGAAGAGGCCGTTCATGGAGGACGCTCCCGGCCCGCCGTCGAGCCTGACGGTCAAGGGAGCTGCGGCGGCATTCTGTCGTGCTTCAAACATGTAAAAGTACATGTGCTGCGTTGGGCTGACGTCCACGTAGCCGGCGAAGCTCTTCACGTTGGGGTTCGTCTCGCAGATGCCGTTCGGCACCTCTTTAAATCGGACATTGACGCCTCCGGCCCCCTTGACCGTCTTGAGATCCGTAGGCTGCGCAACGAACTGCGCAGAAGTCAGAGATGAAAAGAAGGCAACGGCGCAAACGAGAGTAGCCCGCATAGTCGTGATGTTTCGCTGCCGCGTCTAGCGGACAGATCTACGTTGGTGGCTACCGTTAGAACAGTATGAACGAGCGGATAGTGTCGATCCAGATCGACCTATATTAACCAAACGAACGAAGCCTGCGTATACATACGAGTTGTGCCCTCGCTATCGGTAAAGAGCCATACCTTAGTGCCTTTAACGTTCCATCCAGCTGTTTGAAGGAGTGTCTAGTTTCCTCACTGATCACGAAATGGCATCGTCTCAGGGCGTATAAGCGTGGGTAATGCTGGGTCGTCTCCCAAACATGCTAGGTAGGAAAGCTTATTTGTCACTTGGGACACGGACTGTCGAGTTAAAACGCCGTGGATGCCACGGATTTGTTGTCCGTACCACTCAGGGTCCAAGATCAGACAAGGCTCATCCATCTCCAAGTCGGTTGGCTCGGCTAAGAGGGAGCCAGACGCTAGGTAAATTGAAGGTGCTGGCCGCCTCAAATCATGTTGGTGGCTGACAATTGAGCACGGGCAACGTAGTATATGACCCGACTTGCTTGGTTTGCCGTATATTGAGGAGAGGAATGAAGATGGCTGTATAGTGCGTACGAATTTCAGCCTCGGGAAAGCTAGCCACGGGTTTCATGAATCTCATGTTGTTTTTGAGAGTGATGATAATTGTACAAGTCGCCGTGGCTGGGCCTTGTAAAGGATGAGGCCATTGATGTATCAGTTCAGCCTATGTGAAGGGACGTGCTAAGCATATTCAACAACAACAAAAAGTTGACTACTAGTGAAATGCCGAAGACCGGTGGTCAAGTTATATAACCGCATTGAGTTCTTTCAACTGCCAGCTCGTAAGTTTTTGCCAAGGAGAACAACAGGCGAGCACTTCGACTGAACGCGCGATAAGCTCATGCGTCCCGAAAGCTGAAGGACTGGGATCCCCCTCGGAACTTCCGACTTCCGACATCAGCCGCAAGAGCCAACAAGAAACGCCCGTAAAGTCTCATGTTCCCCATTGATGTGATGATGCTTATATGTCTACCTCGTCTCCACATCGAAAGAACTGCGTGGGTCGTATCGAATTGTAAAGAGTTCCACCTGGCTATGTTTTCTTCAAGCACGACTAACGGCCTCCATGCTTAGTAATACGTGCTACGTGCCTCCTAAACGCACACATCACTTAGCGTCGACTGCCGGAGAAGAACTTTATTGATTTGAGCTAACGAAATGATCCGATAGTAAAGAGACTTGGATGTTCCGCTGATCGGACGAAGGAACGCGCGATAGATGAATTAGAACATCGGAATCACGAGGAATGCATTGGACGCTGGCATATGTAATCAAGTCAGTGTCTCTGAGTGGATAGCGGCATCGCCCGTTATAGAAAGTGGGGGAGGGGATTGTGCTTGGAGGGGTCACTCTAGATTAGACGTCCATAGCTTCCGAGAGCTTTCAATGACTTCTCATCTTAGCTCAACTCACTCATCCAATTCATCACCACTACTTCTCATTCACGTAACCTGATAGCCCGCTACTCACCGAGTATCAGACTATCATTACTGGACTGGATACATCCAAAAACGCAACCATGTTCACCGGCATCGTCGAAGAAATCGGAGGTCCGGACCCCTCATCTCTCACCCTTGACTCACCCCTCATCACACATCAAACTTGGAATGCCCTCAACTAACATCCCACCATCAGTCGTCTCCGAGCTCAACCCCAACGACGAGACAGGAGGCACCTCCCTCACAATCACTCTGCCAGAGTCCTCCACCCTCCTCTCAGACTGCCACCTCGGCGACTCAATCGCCATCAACGGCGTCTGCCTCACCGTCACGTCCTTTGAAGCCTCCGGCCCCCCCTCCTTCAAGGTCGGCGTCGCCCCCGAGACCCTGCGCATCACCAACCTCGGGTCCCTGGTCAAGGACTCGCGCGCCAACCTCGAGCGCGCCGTCCGCGCCGACACCCGCATGGGCGGCCACTTCGTCCAGGGCCACGTCGACACCACGGCCACCATCCTGGCCGTCACCCCTGACGGCAACGCCCTCACCTTCCGCTTCGCGCCGCGGGACAAGGCCGTCCTGCGCTACATCATCTACAAGGGCTACGTCGCGCTCGACGGCACGAGCCTGACCGTGACGCAGGTCAATGACGAGGAGGGCTGGTGGGAGGTCATGCTGATCAGCTACACGCAGGAAAAGGTCGTTGTCGCGAGCAAGAAGCCCGGTGACACTGTCAACATTGAGGTGGACATGATGGCAAAGTATGCTGAGAAGAGCCTCGCGGGGTACCTCGGCGGTGCCGGCAGTGCTCCGTTGGAGAGAATGGTTGAGCGGATCGTAGCTCAGGGACTTGGTGGCAGGTCTTGAGGAGAGAGTACATGTGCCGAAAAGAAAACGCCATTCTTACTTATCTAACAAGCTTCTTTTATACAGCTACTTCATTTAAGCAGTGGGTTTAAGATGCGTTCATTTGTACAAGCCGCCATGCGACATATACAACTGGGGAACCGGTGCGTGCTACCCCCGCGTCCCAACCAGCTTCGATACAAGGGGACAAAAAAACAGTTAATCGGAATCAATCGAGTGACTGTATTCAGGACCAATGACGAAGAAAAAAATAAACGAACTCATATAAAATTACAAAAGCTCAGCCCCCCTCACGGGGGGCCTACGAAATCCCAGGAGACTCTGACCAGCCTGAGGTATAGTGATGCTAGGATTTTCACGAGACCCGAACTCGTGACATATGGGTGCGCGGCAGTTCAAACGAGGACATTCCCCGCCACGCCATAGGCCTTGGTGAAGGAATAATATCTTTTGTGTTATTATAGAGGGCGGGTGGTGAATGTCAACCCAGATAGGTGGGTGAGTCTATGCATTGTTTCCCGTATTTTCACAATAGGGGTATTCTAACCATCATCAAGCATCGCCCCAGACCTCGGCTAGCCGTTGACTGACGGCCTTGGCAATCTTCTTGCGCCCTACAAGATTGGGCAGACCGCTGATAACCATCTCCCGTTTCCTCTTTAGCCCTTGCTCGCCTGAGCCGCACTCCTGAAACGCCTTGATGAAATCGTGTGGTGTCTTCCACCGCTTCTGAATCTCCAAAGCCTTCTCTCCCGTAATGCCCCTAGTCGTCATAAGCATTTTAAGGTAAATATCTCGTAAGGTCATCATGTCCGACTTGGACGCCAACGACGCAAAGGCCGCGTATGTAATGTAGTAATTCGTCGTAGGCTCTTTCTTCCGAAGGTGTTCTAGCAACGGCAAGTAGTTCTGTGCTGTCAAGGCCGGTGTCGGAATGACCAGAAGAGGCTTGCATTCGTACATCTTCTTGAGCATGAATGTCATCCGCGCAAGGTACCGGATCGTGTCGTCCATCTTCTGAGTCTTCTTCAAAAAGTAGCCATTAACTACTTGTGTAGACGCAGTGGCGGATCGAACCATTTCCTCAATCTTAGAAAAATACGCCGAGTCCAAGGCAATTTCCTCGACTATGTAGACAACGTGTTTGACTCCAGATTTGCGAAGTCGGAATTTCTGCTCATGAAAACGGCCATCCTTGATACTGCTAACAAGGTCGTCTAGTCGCTTGCGCTCAACAATCCAATCCAGCACAACCTCATCTCCCTCTGCGCCAAAGCGGGATAGGGCGTTGGGATCGTGGCATTTGGCGATCCATTGTGCATCACCGACGTCCAGAGCTCGCATTATAGGTTTTACGCCCTTTTTGGTGAGCTCGTCTTGCATGTAGTCGCGATCCTTGACTGCTCGAACTTCGCGGATGTCAAGAGCGAGATGAACGGTAAATGAACCAGGTGCCAGCCGAATCGGGACGAAGTTTGGTAACGATGCCTCATCCGAGACCACTGGTCCATTCGCGACAACGCCTTCGTATTCTGATGTCGTTCTCGGCCGTTCCACTGGCTCGACAGATGGCGAAGCTTCTCTATCTAACGGTATGGAGGTCAGATCAACCCCACTGGCAGGTCCGGCATGCGTACTGGGGCCTGCGGTAGCATGGCCGGCTGCGCTGCTGGCTTCTGCGGTCTTTTTGATGCGTTCAGCAACTTCCCATCCCTCATCGGTAAGAGAGTACCGCCTCTGTGGGCGGCCTTTCTCGCAAACAAGATCCTTTTCGATGAGCGTCTTCATCGAGTTCCATGCCGTGTAGTACTTGCCAGGGTCACTGGGTGCAGAGAAGGATGCGTCGCAGTGTTCCTGAGCCAAGTCTATGAGGCTGGCTTTGGTTATCCCAGATTGTACACCCTTATCCAGTGTGGAGAGTGATAGTAAGAGAGCGTAGGCGCCTGAGCGATATGTTGGAACGTAAGGCTTTACCTTGCGTGCTTTCTTGGGTGGAGGGTGCTCGTCATCATCAGCAGCGCCGCCGAGGGATGTGCGGTCTTCCTTGGACAGCCGTGGATTCTTAGGCATGGGCAGACCGTTTGACTGGCAATGCTCCTTTAGCTTATCAGTCAGACGTGAAGAGAGCTTGTCTCCGAAGCCCTTGAGCTGGGTGAGCTGACGTGGATGCTGAAAGGTGATGGGGCATGCCTTGAGAGACTCATAGGCATTTCGATAAGTGGAGGTGCTCTTCATGTTCCGTTCTCTCGCAGTGTCCAGCCACTCCTTGACCCAATCAAGGAGCAGGGGATTGGCGTATTGCTCGTGTTCGCCAGCCATAATGCTGCTGTGATGTTGGAGTTTCCTTGCAGCGTCGGTACGTCAAAGATCATTGCCAAGAACTGGACAACAAAAAGGGCATCTCTGCCGGTGTGTATGCAGCCAGGCTGAGAAATTTGATTTCCAAAACAAACAAATCGCCCCAAAATGCAGTTATCTACCAGGATGCCGAGCGTGCCTTGCCGGCTAGAGAGAGGCGAAGAAGAGGGCGGGAGAGGAAGGAAACTTGGAGTCGCGACGCGCAGACACGCTAAGCAGTGGCACTTGGTGTATAGTGGTCATCACGAATCCACGTGACAGGCAGTGCCTATACAAATATTCAATTCTTGCGCCAGGGCCATCCGGCGTTCTGAGGGCTGAGGGGCGCCGATCACCTCCTGTGCAGCTTAGTGAGTGACAACCGCCGATTAAGGTACTTCACTAAGACCACAGCTTCAATTAATCTTTCCAAAAAAAAAGAAAAAAAAAAGAAAAAAGGAAGGAGAAAAAAAAAGAAAAGGATCAAATCGTTTTTTATCGGGAACATCCTGCGAAGCTTTAGATATCTTCAGAGAGTAAACCAGGCAATATCTATGGCGACGAATAGAAGTCGCCAATATGTCTCGAGCGGCAGTTTAGGTGGTCCGTCACAAAAGTAAGTAGTGCCCCTCATGAACCTAACGCTGAGGAGGGGCAATCCGGGCTGCGACCCCACCCCTTCCTGTTGCGGTGTGCTGCATCCATCCAGCGCCCAGTCTGACTTGCATGATTGCATCACGGGTAATGGCTACGGCGGGGCCTGCCTGTTAATGTCGCTGTTGTTCTCGCATGAGGTAAATGGCGGGGAGCTGAGGTGAGCCTGGCAGAGACGCAGGTAACAGATGAGTGGAGGCAACAGCACACTGGAATGGCGGCCACCGCATCCAGTTTCCTGGTCAGCAAGCACCTTATTGTAAGGTAGGCAACTGGCAAACTACCGCCCTCCATTTCTCTCCACTGTTTCCTCGTAAACATCCCCAGCTCCATTACCTACTACGTTGCCTCTTTATTTCTCTCCTTCATCCACCCTGGCCATCGCTTTCCCAACACGTTGAATCTCTTTTGAAATTGTCTCGTTCACCCATAGCCATTCGCTTGAGTCCACAGCCCGTCATGTCGGACGAAAAGATCATCGCCGCTTCGCAAAAGCACCCCATCGTGCCGAACCACACCTTCAAGTATGGCACTGCGGGGTTCCGGATGAAGGCTGATCTCCTTGACGGTGTCACTTTCCGTGTCGGTCTGCTTTCCGGCCTGCGTAGTCGCAAGCTCAATGGCCAGGCTATTGGTGTCATGATCACAGCTAGCCACAACCCCGCTGCCGATAATGGCGTCAAGATTGTTGACCCCATGGGAGACATGCTTGAGCAGGAGTGGGAGTCGTATGCTACTAAGCTTGTCAACAGCTCCTCGGACCAGGAGCTTGTCGACAATTACAAGGCCTTGGCTTCCCAGCTCCGCATCAACCTATCCGATCCTGCCCGCGTCGTTTACGGTCGAGACACCCGCCCTTCGGGCCACAAGCTTGTCGCTGCTCTGGCCGATTCCTTCGAGGCCACTGGCGTTGAGTACACCGACTACAAGATCCTCACCACTCCCCAGCTCCACTACCTCACCCGATGCGTCAACACCGAGGGCACGCCGCAGTCGTATGGCAAGGTCAGCGAGACTGGATACTACGAGAAGTTTGCCGATGCTTTTGTCAAGGCTCTCAAGGGTCGCAAGGTTGACGGCCAGTTGACCATCGACTGCTCCAATGGCGTTGGTGGTCCCAAGTTGACCGAGTTCCTGAAGCACGTCCCCAAGGACGTCACTGGCTTCGACGTCAAGGTTGTGAACGATGATGTTCTTCGCCCCGAGGTCCTCAACCTCGACGTAAGTTGCATTGCATCCGTACCACTCTGTGCCTTAGCTGACTTGTGCAGTGTGGTGCAGACTTCGTCAAGACCAAGCAGCGCGCCCCTGCTTCTCCCAAGCCCATCCCGGGCGCTCGCTACTGCTCCTTTGACGGTGACGCCGACCGCTTGATCTACTACTACACCGACCCGGACACCGGCTTCTTCATGCTCGACGGCGACCGGATATCCACCTTGGCTGCTTCCTTCATTGGCGATCTGGTTCGATCTGCCGGCCTTGAGAAGGACTTGCGCATCGGCGTCGTTCAGACTGCTTATGCCAACGGTGCTAGCACCAACTACATTGAGAAGCATCTCGGATTGCCCGTCGTTTGCACGCCCACTGGCGTTAAGCACTTGCACCATGCTGCTCTCAAATTCGACATCGGTCCCTACTTCGAGGCCAACGGTCACGGCACTGTCATCTTCAGCCAAGATGCTATGCGTGCCTTCAGCGAGACGAAGCCCCAGTCCCCCGCACAGAAGGATGCCCTCGAGACCCTTGCCGCCGTTGGCAACCTCATCAACCAGACCGTTGGTGATGCGCTGTCAGATATGTTGATGGTGGAGGTGATTCTCGCTCACAAGGGATGGACTCTCAAGGACTGGGCCTCAACCTACTCGGATCTTCCCAATCGCTTGGTCCGTGTTGAGGTTGGTAACAAAGATGCTTTCCAGACCACGGATGCCGAGCGTCGCCTTAGCCATCCTGCGGGAGCTCAGGACGAGATTGATCAGTGTGTTAGAAAGTACACCAGCGCTCGTTCC